CTTCTTTTAGGTTTATCATATTTATTACATTCACACAAGTTAACATAATACTGACTCGTTTACTTTAGCTTTTTGTGCCACTGAAGTTTGTTTGTATTTAAATAGTAAAGTCATATAATGTTAGGCAACTTGATCGTTGATTTGTTTTCTGTTTTCATTTAATTGTGATGCTTTTAAAAAGCCAATGTTGTGAAGTATTATTCAATTGTGATGGGAGTTCTTTTTTTATCTTTGTTTTTGGCTGATTCTTTGTAATAAGGTTGTGTATTGTATTAGAAAGGTCTGCATAATGTATTCTAATTTGAAATTACCGACCAAAATTGTCATATCTTTTGTTACTTCTGTAGTTGTCCATTAGTTCGTCTAAAATATTCCTAAGACGACTTTTCAGAGCTTATCTTTGTAAAAAAAGAAGAACAGATCAAAGTTAGAAATAGAAACATTCCTTTCTTTGAACTACGAAGTTCTTGATATCTGGTCGATGTAACATACACATAAAAGCAACGTATCTTCTGTGATGACAAGACACAGTTATTTGAGCTTTAGAAGTGGAAGGAGGAGAAATAATTTTTGTGTGTTTAAACTAACATTTAGTTAAGCCTTGGGACCAGCCGTTTAAGACAGATTGTAGTATAGCGCTTTTGAAAATTTTCGGAGAGTGCAAGTTTGTTTTTCTTTTCATTTTCACAGTGATGTTCCCATCTAACAGTAAAATACATTGGTGTATAGAATCATCGAAAGCGCCATTAGTTTCTAAGCGGTAGCTTTACCAGTGGTGGCCAGCTGACTGCTTGTCTTGCTGTACAACAAGATTCTTTGCAGAAAATTTTATTGCACCACAGCTTATATGTTTAAAACAGTTGAACTGTTGTTGTGAGCTCCAGCTGTCTTGTGTCTGTCAATTTAACTTTCAACAATGTCAGTGGGTTTTGCAATCCAATGTGCAACGCAGTCGGTACTACTGGATGCTTGAAAGCAACCTATCTGTACTTCTTTTCCCTTTTAGTCTTATGAGTCTCCTTTCCTGTAAAGTGCTTTGTTGTTGATGCAGTAATGTATATACTTCAAGAAAAAGAAAAAGTGACATCCACAAGTGGGAAGTGTTATCAGTACTTGCTTTGGGGATATTTTGGCATTGCCACGCGTATTGTGCATAACTTCTGCTAAATTCGGGCGTCGCCAAATGTGTCGCTTTAAATTTGTTGTAGAATTAACTGCTGTACGTCATAATTTAGTTCATTTCTCCCAGAGTTAGTTCAGTCTCTCGTTCAAACAAGACAACAAGGTTTGAAAATTAACCACAATTTGTGAACAACAATACAGCAACGCAGTAATTCATAGGTGTCAATAACAGAAGGAACTGACCCATATCTACGATGGTCACAAATAAATGAGCTTACTACGCAAACTACCATTTCCAAAAGGCAAAAGAACTGAAGCTTGTTTACTAAAACATAAACATGCTTTCTCATAATTTTAGAAATCTCTTAATTTAATTCCCAGGCAGTGTTTTTTAAGACAGTCAATTGTATAATCCCGTCACGGGCGAGATGCAGCAGACGCAGTAAGAGATTACGTGTAAAATGTGAGAAGCTCAGATTCATCTGGTAATAGTGGTGAGACAGCGCAGTAAGTGCAGAGCCCTGTGATTGTACTGAACTTGTGGGGAAGACTGCATCTTTTTACTTCATCAACGATTGCATTTTCTCGTCAATTGCCTTCAGGAAGTCTTCAGTGAACAGATATTTGTCTGGGGTTGCTCCTTTGAGCCCGTGAATGCAGATCGCAAGATCCTTTGTCATCTTTCCTTCCTCAATGGTTTCTACGCAAGCCTTCTCCAAAGTTTCGGCAAACCTTAAATTACACTTTTAAACTGCTAAACTAATCACTATGCCAGATTCAAGCTAGGTAGGTATTTAACGTGTTACTGAATTTTTCTCATCAGTCAAGCAAGACTTACTTTTGCAGAGCTTCATTTCCATCTAGTTTACCGCGATGGTGCAAACCTCTGGACCAAGCGAAAATAGATGCGACGGGATTAGTTGAAGTTGGATTGCCCTAAAATGTGTTTCTTATGGTAATGAATTAACGGGAAAAACGAGAAGTGGTTAAGTTGATATATAACACTTTAAGCATACTTTTTGATGTTCGCGATAGTGACGAGTAACTGTTCCATGCGCGGCCTCCGCTTCAATTGTCTTACCGTCAGGGCACATAAGAACAGAAGTCATTAACCCTAGCGAACCATACCCTACAAGGATTTATAGCTACTCGATTAACATTGAGAAGTGACATTGAAAAGAAAGTCTTTAAAAAGATGTTCTAATACAGTCCCAAGTTATAAGTTGAGCAACAATCTCCTGAGTGGAAAAAAGTTATTAAAATTTTTAAAAGTTCACCTTGAGCAACAATATCGGACTGTACGTCACCGTCGTAATTTTTGCACGCCCAAACAAATCCTCCAGAACTTTTCAAAACCTAAATAAGTTTACCACAGTTGACGAATATTAAATTATCAACAGTTCGCCTCAAACTAAGCGAGAGAATGAAGAGCACGTTTTTTTAATCATTAAGTTGCTGAGAAACCTAACCTGTGCAACCATGTCATCTATAAGTCGATGTTCATACCATATGTTCAACTTCTTGAATTGGTTTATGTAGGTTCTGAAACAGCCTGTTGTGAGATTTAGAGAGATAAAAGTTCCTTAGTCCCTCAGCTTTACAAAGGTAGCCTTAAAACTTTGACTTGTAAATAACATACTTTTCATATATTCCTTGGAAAATGTCTTTGAAGCGGCCGTCGTAGCGTTTCAGAATGGTGTTTTTGGTGCTTAAATAAAGAGGCCATTTTTTCGTCAAAGCATACTGGAAGCACGAGTGAGCAAATCCTGTGATACTCTGGAAGCAAATGAGGGGATAAAAGAATTTTTAGTATATCTGACTAGTTAAATGAAGTCAAGGTCTGCAGCTTGTTCCCTAAAACAACTGAAAAAAGCTCCGCAGTTTGCAGTTTCAAGCTGAGCCCTTTTTTCAAGCATAGTGGAGAGTTGTTGTCGCGAGTTGTTGGCTTGAGTCTGTTTCAGTCGTCTAAAATAAAAGCAGGAATAAGAAATAACCTACTTCATCAGTGTTGTACATTCCCATTATGCATCCTCCGCTTTTGCTGAATTGAAATACATCGTGTCTAATTTCTTTCCCATCTTGACGAAGTTCACAAAGTTGGAACTTTGTACCTTTTGGAACTACTGCATCTGTTGCCTTGTACTAAAAGAGAATAACTATTTCAAAACCATTTATAGTGTTTAAGCGATAGGTATAATTTAATGTGCAAGGCTCTCTGGAAATCACTACTTACCTGATCACCAAATGCATGACGGCCGATTACAATCGCTTGTTTCCATCCAGGAACCAAACGAGGAATGTTTTTGCAAAGAATTGGTTCCCTGAATACGGTACCTCCCAAAATATTTCTAATAGTTCCATTTGGGCTGAGCCACATTTTTTTCAAATTAAACTCTTTTACCCTAAAAATCGTTTATTCAACAACCACTTAAATTTTGAATAATGCCTCTGATTGTTTGTTTTCCAAAGTTTGTTTTAAAAACTCTAGGCACCGACTGGCAATAACTCTACGTAAATAGCAAAATAATGTTAAGACTTAATTACTTTTTACGAAAAGAACTGATTGAAGGTTGAATTAAACTTACTGCTAGCCTACCTAGCCTCATCTGGAGTGATAGTCGCACACTTAATGCCAACATTGTATTTTTGAATAGCCTTTGCGCATTCAATGGTCACTTCATCATTCGTATCATCACGATTTGGAAGCCCCAAGTCATAAGTTTTTATATCGATGTCCAGATACGGCAAAATTAACTATAACCTATCTTTCCACAGTTTTCCTTGAAACACTTCGTTCCTCATAAAAAAAAATAAAAAATTTTTCCGGCCATCCCATAACTCAGTCTAACCAGTCATCCATTAAAGCTGAATAAAGAAAACGAAGAAAGCATTAAAATTGACCTTCTTTTTTATTTCAGCCCAAATAATACGGGTCATTTCATCGCCATCAAGATCGACAACCGGGTTTACAACCTTAATTTTTTTGTGAGATAATGGAGCTGTTGCTAAAGCACGGGCTGACTGAATTAAAGCTTTAGCACCGATAGCACGAATTACCAGCTGATGCTGCATCTCGTTAGCTGTTCCTAAATTGAATGGTCAGATTTTAAGAAAGGCTATGAGCTAACTTTAGGTGGGAGACAATGCAACAGTAATGTCTAACAATTCACAAAGTTGAAACATAAATTTCGCTAGGTTCGCTGATAAGCAAAATTTAACATCAAATGTACAAAAGCCTTTAGTGATTAATGAATATACCAGTTGCAAGTTTTCAAATTATCACTACATGTGTTGAGTCAGTAGAAGTAATATTGAAGAAATAGGATTTGAAAAGTTCAATTCCAATCAACTGTAGTTACAATTTGTTACGTAACTTTATTTCTATCGATTAAAAAGTTTTACAACCAAATATTGTGACACTCACGAAACTTTCACATAAAACATTCACGAAAAAACCGGCAGAGTTGCTCAGTAGAGATAATGTTTTACAATGCCGCAAAACAATGAAGAAAAAGTTTAACGATGTAACTGCTGTCATCTGTACCACGTCCGTTTTCAAGCATTTCAACATTTAGCTTCCTTAAACTTATAATAAGTGTTTGAAAGAAATTAAAAAATAAAGGACTATAACCTAATTAAAAGCACCAATAAATCAGTTTCCGACACTCTAAAATCCTCAAAAAAAATGTCGAGAACTTCAGTAAAGATAACATTTGGCTGTAACTAAATGGAAGGCGATCGCCGCCAACAAAGAAAGACGGACACCGCCGTTGCTGGTGATTAACAGAGACCGGAACTGACAAGTTTGGTCAAAACTACTCAGCGTTTAAGCAGCAGACTGTCTAAGCGCCAGCCAATTGCCGAACTGCTCTAAATGCACGTAACAGAAGCATTTGTCGTCCCTTTGTTGGTTAGTCGATCAACCAAGCAACCAGCGACTTGTGCTACCCGATGGCGATTATTTTGATACGCTTACGATTGGTAATCGATTCGTCACCGTTTTATTTGGCTGCTGCATTTATGGCCACGTCGGTATGTCAAATTTTTTAAAATAGCCCTAAGTTGCATATACACCATTTAATCATTGGAGTAATGAAAGAGCAACAGTATAGGTTCAACTGCTGGCGATTTGCACTAAATTAACTTGTCCTTTAAGTGAATGAGAGGTACTCGGATAAACTGAATAAGTGATTGAATGAAGTGCAGCGGGGGGGGGGGGGGGGGGGGGGGGGGGGGGGGGGGGG